AACACTGAAGACAAGCATACCTTGGTCTCTTTATGTGATTAAAATGAGGACCCTTCCATGTCAGTGCTTGTCAGAAAGGACACTTTGGGGTCTCCCAAGGTCTGTGACTCCTGAAGAATTTGCAGGCTGGCCCATGCCAGACACAAGAATTTTTGGAGAACCATGAGATCTATAGGCTGGAGTTTGGAAGCTCCAAACCTGTCCAACGCTGTGTGTTCAAGCGTGATCATGGTTTTCCTTAAGCCCACGGAGTTGGGTTTTCTGTGTATGGAAAAGGTGGGGTGGATCCACCTTTCCAGAATCCTCCATTCTGGATTGGAGGACATTCTGGATACTTTGAAATGGTTTGCCAGCTCAGAGGTGTGCACACGCAAGTCCTGATCTTGGTACATTCAGACTTCTAAGGGAATGCCGGGGAAAGGTGTGTGTCCTGCCTTGTGGCACACCTGCCAGTCAGCCCAGGAGGTCCAGAACTGCCATGGTCTTGGCAGACATTGAACAAAATATTCCAGGACCAATGAACTATGTAATAAAGGTAAGAATTTGACATTTGAATTTCTCTGGCTAATTCTAGTGCATAGCACTAGATAAGAGTAAGGATGGAAATTACATTACTCCTTTCAAATCCGTGGACTAAAGGTTGGTTTAGTTGCATTTCTATGGCATAGAGAACATAATACAGTAATCTCTTGTAGCTGAGATAGGAAGGTGACGCTGAGACTTACAAGTAGGATAGTAATTTCAGAAATGGAAGTGAATTTATTTCATTGTTGCAGGAAAGTTGGTGCTTTGGGTGCCTTCCTGTAGCACAGGTTTCTTTTTTTAGGCAAACATTGTTCTGGATGGGAAAATGTATGTTATAGTCATTAGAAGAATAATTGCAGAAGGAAGAACCTTCTGTGGGAAAACAGTGTATCCAACAACTACTGTTCTCTGATGATTGCTTGTATCAGCACAGAGCTGTCTTTTTCAGACACTCAGAGTGGATTAGGTCTGTCTGTGAGAACAAAGTTTCAAATAGTGCTAGTGGTGTGTGTCTCAGCTGTGCGATGAAGGCTAATTCTGACCAAATATAGTATTTGAACTACTTTGTGGATAAACATTTGCCAAATTAGAGGTGTTTTAAACAGCAAACAGCATTTCAAATGGTATTTCAACTGTTGCACCTTTTTTAAGCATAAGTCCAAGTTTTAGCCAGTTATGGGTTCCGTAAAACTTGAAGATGACAGTGAGCATGAACTTAAGTGCATCTTAGGGTTAACCTCTAATATCAAAGCTAGTCTCTGCCTCAGCCCATAAATGCTTTGATCATCATAAAGCCAGTTATGAATATGTCTAGATAATAATCCTCATGAAACTTTGACTATCCTCTGAAGTAAATTTCAAGGTGGCTTTTTAATGTTAAATTCTGAGGGGGCTCACATTATGCTGAATGTACAGCATGCCAGTATAGGGCCCTTTTATGGTTCAGACATTTTATGATAAGAGGTAAAAATGAACATTAAAATTGTGAATAGCAGTATATAATTTGCCATCTGACCCACTAGTATTTCTACAGACAACACGTTAGAGGTAGTCTCTTAAAATATCAACATATGAAGCCACTAAAAATTATTCTTAAAATCTTAACACATCACTTCTGTAAACTGGATGAAATTCACAAGCTTGTTGATTTTTTTTAAATACCAGTCTGCCTGTGTTGTGATTAATACAGATTGCTCCAAGTCCTAAAAGCAGATGAATTTTGAGTGCTAAAATTTGTCTTGTTGACATCCTGTGCGATGTGGTGGTTTCTAAGCAGTGATTTCATAAGTGTACCAAAGGGTTAAAGTAGAACAACAAAAGAGCCATCACTTGCTGATGGCTTTCTGTACAGCTGCCAACAATATTTCAAATGAGGGAGTTCCTTACCTTTCTTTCAAAACATAACTGTTTAACTCCTCTTTCCAGATTTTCTATTCCTTGTCCCATCTTTGGCAGGCAAAGAAGCTTGTGGTAGATTCTTACTAGATAAAACTTGGATATTATTGTAAGAAGTTGTAGTGAGATGTTTAGAAAAGTATTGTAAATCTTGGTTACTCTGATTCCTTGCATTCCTCTCAGCATCTCACAGTAGTTTTGAACAAATTCTGAGTTCATTTAAGCAAGAGATTTAAGAACAGGAGGTGCTTCAGTGAATGCCAGAGCCACAATGTTGTCAAACCAAAGTACAGTTATGAACAAGCCTTCAGTGTTGCTTTCCTGCACCTATGTGCCAGCTAAATCATAAAGGTCATATATTTACAACAAAAAGGAAGAACTCTTAGTCCTTCATTTTCTAACCACATTCCTCTATGGCTCTGGAATCTTGTTTGTGTGATGGACTAATCATAATGGTCTCTCCCTTACCTTTGTGTAACAAGGACACCAGCATGCCTTTCTGAGAGGAAGGTGTTTTCTTTACATTTCATATGTCATTGACAGTGTTAATTTTGATAGATTCCTTTTTTTTTTTTTCTATCTGAGTGGCACAAAAGATAGCATAAAGCATGAAGTCGGCAATATTTGCAGAATATAATGGCAGGATACAAGTGGTAAGAGGAATGGGCATTGCTTCTCATGTAAATATTACTCTTCTGAGTAACTGAGACAGAAATGCCAGAAACAAACTTGATACATTTGTTACCTCCACTAACTTTGAATGTTGCAGAAGTAATACCCAATTGAGCATTTTATTTAATGCCTTATGCCGTGGATACACTCAAGAGATTTGAAATATTAGAGAAGACATGGCTTAGTTTTAAATCATCCAAACATGTTGTCTTTTTACTTAGAAGCTTAGTTCAGATGGCAAATCAGATCTGTCTTTTAATCTACTTATGCTTAGTAGCAGCATAGAGGGAAAATTGCATGGGTTTTTTGATGTAGCCAGACCAGGTTTTAACTGCTGCGGTTTGTTTCATGTGTGATAAGAATACAGTGTTGGATCACGTTCAACTTGGCATCCACCATAGCCACTGCGTCTCTCTCAGCAGAGCTGCTACTCAGACAATCAGTTCCTAGTCTCTGCTAACACACCACTTTTTCCACTCCACATTTGAAAACATTTTAAAACTCTGTGCCATGTAAGACCTGTATTCTACTTATCCTGAATAAACCACCAGCTTCTTTCATTATCAATTCCACTAGCTTTGGCAAAGCATCTTTTTCTTACCTCTTTAGAGATTTTGGGGGAAGGTGGGGTTTCTTCTTGGACTTCGGCCAGAAGTTTTCTTGTGGTATGCAACTGGTATAGTCCTGAGCAAAAAGCAAGAATTTGACTCAAAAACTGTGCATCAACCTCTGAGTGACACTTCTAAGCCTTACCACTGAAAAGATTGAATCAAGTAGGCACTGCATATTTCTTCTGCCTGAAGTCATAATAAGCTGGCCAAGAAATTAGCCCTGGCAAAATTCAATATTATAACAATATGGATCTAATGAGTACCTTCTCATTCTAAAATAAATTATTGAAGCTGCATTGTTCTTCATTTACTGACATTAAAGTGCTTCCATCTGCAATGACAACCTTATGTTACTCTTGCTGGTGTGCAAGACTTATATAAACTGTAAGGGTTCTTTTGTATGAAAGCAAAAAAAACCCACATGCTTCTCTGTGACATGTTTGTCTCAGTTTATTTCTTTGTTGCCATATTTTCAGCCATGACCAGCTGGAACTTTGTGTAAGAAAGCTCATTATTTTTTGTATTTTTTTATAACCTAAATTGGGGTCTTTGAGTGCTTTCTATGGCCCTCAATATAGCCACATGAAAGATTTCTCTGGTTATAGGTTTGCTTTGAACTGTTAATGATGGATTGCTGATGAGAGCACAGATGAATGTGCAAGAATACTTCATAATTTGCTCGCCCTGTGCAGCATACCTGCACTTCTAAGGAGGGAAAGAGGTGAAGAGAAATATTATTCAACTGCTCCTCTGCACTGTCCGTATGTTGTCAATAATGGTATCACTACAGGATTATGACACATCTGTCTTTTAGCTATTTGAAAAGGCATTTGATGGGTAATTTTTAAATTCAGGGATATTTTTAAAAGGCTAATAAATAAGTATTAATTGGGTTACACTGCTGATTTTAAAATTTATAATAGGTTGTGGGCATATCTTCTTGATTCAAATTTATGGGGAAAAAATGCAAGATTAATTAGCAGGAAACCTTATTCAGGAGAGTTTGTGAAGGAAAGCATATGGCTTATTAATCTTCCATTATCCCTCTTCAGGCACGGAGATAGATAATAAAATATGGCCTTACTCAATGGCTCAGTGCTGTTTCTGCTGCAGCTCTGCTTGATTCCTGCTATTTGTCTGTTCTGTTTGTACAAATGAATGTGAAGGAAGGGGACAGAACACAGAGAGAATGAGGAGAGCTGTGGCTCATTCCCAGCTGTTCACAACCAGAGATGTCTGGGTGCAGAGAACTGAAGTATTTTACTGTCAGAGTGAGGAGGGAGAATACCATGGTGCTTCAAGTCTCTGACTTGAAAGGAGTTTTAACACATTACAACAGTACCATCTGGCCTCTCCATTTGTCATTGCTTTATCATACACTTACCATGTCTGCCCATCTATTCATGTGCTGCAATAGAAAGCTACACGTGACTGAAATGAACTGTCCCTTTCTAAGTTTTGGAATGCTCAGAACCCTCTTCCTACCTTCAGACTTGCTTTGATTAGTTGAGTGTGTTACGCTACAGACCAGGTTGCGTATTAACAGTCCTTAACCTCATAAAAACCGTGTTTGACACCTTCTGCTTCATTTGCATTTCATGTGCTGTGTGATGGCTTGCTACAAGAATTTATGCTGATGAAAGTAACCCACGATGAAAAGTACTTCTGTATAACTGTTGCGTCATAGCTGGACAGCTGTAAGCAATACAGGGGAAAATACTATTCAAAATAAACTAGTGTTACTATAATTACATACTGCTAAATAAATAAACTAACATTCCTCTCGTATTTTTAAAGGGCGAACCAGGTTTCATTGGTCCTCAAGGAGAACCTGGCTTGCCAGGGCTACCAGGAACAAAGGTAAGGGTGGTCGGCCAGCACTCTGATGCGAAGCCCCTAGAGCTGATGTCAAATTCAACTTCCTAAGCAAGTAGTAGGGACTTAGACTGTACTAATGGAGGTGAATGTGGAAAGTCATAGTTAATGGAGCAGTGCTTTGAGATAGATCCATATATATAGACATATATATGTATGTATGTATGTATATATATTGGTACCCTCAAAAAGTTTGAAGGCAGATGTCTCATAACTTAGGTCAGTAAATACCCTTTTTTCATGTTAGAATCCAAAACTGACTTGTTCAAGAGCCAGAATATACATGACTAAAGAAACTATATTTTCATAAATATGATGTATTTTAAAAAAATGGCTTGAAAGTGTGTGCAGGAATTAGAATTTTGATACTACACACCAGGCTGAAAATACAGAAAACGTAAACCTCTGTTTCTTCTGTTGGCTTTGTTTCTTTGGTCATGCTAAAGACTGCCCAGTATTTTCCATATATGTGTATCTGTTGCAATAGGGTGACAGAGGAGAGGTGGGCCCTGTTGGGAAGGGTGAGCGAGGTGAGCCTGGAGTCCCTGGACCAAAGGTCAGTCTGATTTTATAATGGAAATGTTTTGTTAGTTTTATACCTTATGAATACATCTTTTCCTGCTGAGAAGTAGAACAAAACTTGGTGAGTGAGCTTCTAAGTGGAAATGCTGCCAAATACTCTACTTCAGTCCAGAAGACAATGGCAGTTTTGTGTTCACAGCTGTGGAACTGCAGTCTGAATGGACTCTTATTTGGTCTACAAAGTAAAGGCACTACCTACATACACTGTCATGAAATTGGCCTAATTCTTTCCAGCTGAAGTCCTGACCTCCAGGTCCCTAACTTTCAGCATCAGTGTTTGAACTCTTTGACCAGTGTAGCTATTGAATGCAGAGAAAATCCATTTTGCATGCTGTTTTCTAACTCTCTGAGAAAGAGATCAGTCTAACTACATTTTAGTGGTGTCTTAATATTTCCCTCTGTGTCAATACTGTCAAGTTTTTCTTTCCTAATGCATCTTGAAAATAATAAGGCCAATTCTGCGCTCCTTGGCCTGTTAGTTTGTATCCAGCTGAACAGTTGGGAAAAGAAGTTGTGGTAACACTCTATTTTAATCTCCTTATATTAGAATATTTAACTATCTTCTCTATCTTTTGGCTATCATTTCTCAGGGGCTATGGAATGACAAAGGCCATTCCTGAAAACCACTGTTAATGATGCCTGCTGTTTACTAACACCAATATTACTTTTCCTTTGGAAGGATGGAATCTGTGCCTTTGCACTCTGGTGTTAAAGAATATATTAATCTGGGCACTATTAAATTCAGTGCCTTTACAGATTCATTATCTTGGTAATATCAAATGAAGTATTTCTGTTGTTCCATACTGTAGTTAGTCATTACTAATTTCTTTTTCTCTGCACTCCCATTTCTCTATGATTTCTCTCCTATCTTCCTTCAAACAGGGGAAAACAGGTGAACCTGGATCTAGAGGCCCAAAAGGGTCAAAGGTTAGTAGTAAAGAAACTGTCTTTAGTGGAGTAATTAACATGATGATTTTTAGGATCGATTATTTGTAACATTTCAGAGAAACTTCGCTTATCTTTTTAAAAGAACACGTAACAATCTGCAGTGTTCTTTATAAGTGAAATCTTCTGACTTCCAAATTTAGCTATTGAAGTCAAAACTTACGTGTTTTGAACACTGTGATTCTAATCCTTTTTTGTGTTATAACATCCATTCCACTCTGCTCTGGTTTTCCTCATGCAACTTGGTTTCTCTCTGTGTAACTGATGTGGGTTAGTCCTCCCACATGCCAGGACCCTACACCTGACTGTGCTATTATATAACTTTGTGGATCCACACTTTGGTGAGTTACGAATCAGTGCTATCCCCAGTACTGCAGGCTGAGATATGATGATCAGAAGTCGTACAAAGGCAAGAGCTGTCAGTTGCATTGCTGTTTTACTACTTAAAATACTCTACTTTGAGTATATCTAGCTATCCACCTGTCTCTCAGTAGATATAACTGGTTCACATATATGGAGAGATAAAATGTATGTTTTTTCTGTTACCTTATCTGCTGTGCAAATTCTGTTCCCACTGGATTCCTTCAAAGTAAAAGCAAAATGAAAATATATTTGTTTAGGCGGTTATTGAGTCTGTCAGAATAAAGGTGACAAGACAATGTAGGCCAGTATGATACTTTTTGCAGTACTTGTAAGGTCCTTGAAGAGTGACCTTAAGTGCTTAAGGAGATGATTAAATAAGTGCCATTTAAGCTCATTTATTTTCACCAGAAAGAAGCATTGGAAAACTAATCGAGGGATTAAAGTATCAGAGTGAGAGTATAAGAGTAAATCAGCCTCTCGTTTGGCTATACTACCTGGGCACCTCCCACAGGTGCCAAAATTATAAAGATATCCCTTTTAATTTCCTTTTTATCAAAAAATTATATACAATTTTCATTTTACCTGCGTACCTGTCATGAAAATCTAGCCCACAGAAGTCAGTCTAGTGGTTGAGAACTTCATTTTTTAATAGTTCAATGGCATGTTCACTTGCTGCTGCCAAGGCAACACTGAAAGGAAAGGCAGATAGCACAACCTTAATTATGCCCTGCCACCAGCCTGCTCTCCATATGTCTTCATTAGCCCTATGAAAGTTTTCTGTTTTCTATGTGTTTTGTGAATTAGTCATTCTCTGGTGAATTAGTCATTTTTCCATGACTTTACCAAAGTTCTCTAGATTTCAGCAGGAGCGAAAGTTGCATTCTTACCCATATTAATTTCAAGTAATATAAAAACATAAGATCTTGCTGTGAAAGTGACTGTGAAATGAATTATGAATGCTGGGTTATGAATGCATATATGTTTGAAATTCCCTCCATCATTTCAAACATACTACTAATAGGAAGAAAAAGCTATGTGTAAGTTGGCAGTGATCTTAAGCCTTTCACAGAAAGGGAGTCAAGAAACTCTAATGCTGACAGTAATGTTGTGCTTGTAGGGGAGGCAATGACTCAGAGTGGGAAAGTTGAGAAAGTGGAGTCATGATCACAGAAAGAAAAGTTATACATTTTGAAACACACCTTTGAAGAAGTTGTTGACTGTTTTCAGACTGAGTGATTTAATTTCTCTAGTGTTTCTTCAAGCTTTTGATAATAATGTCATTTAGAAGAGGGACGTTATATAAATTATATAAATTAAGTTATAAGTTATATAAATTACTGAATTTGTTCCTCGGTGTTTCTTACTCCAAACCAATACAGCACTCTAATAATTCACACAGAACTAAGTTCATCATTGTCAAGTTCATCATTACACTGATTTTTCTTTTCATTAAGATCCACATTCTGTTTAGAATGAGAGACCAGCCCTTTAAACCAGTTTATATAAGAAAACATATTTGAAAGGGAAGAACTACGTGATATATCGTTAAATGGCATATCTGTTTTCAAATATCATTTTTACATAGGGTGATACAGGTGACAGAGGTGACATGGGATCTGCAGGTCCACGGGTAAGTCTACTTTTCATCACAGCTCTTTGTATTATATTCTTAGATTCAGTTCACATGACCTGAAATTGTAGCAGTAACTCTAGTAAAAACTCGAGATGAAATTGGGCACTAGACTCTGTTGGAACGTTGTTGCTAACGTTGTTGCTAACTCTGTTGCTAACTGGCCTTTAATATGACTAACATCCCAACTGCAAGTCTCCTGTTCACAGTTTGTGGGCTGGATGTTACATGCCAGATGTTCTGACATTGTTCACAGCCAATACAGAACTAGAGTATCAAACTGCTTAAATATTTCCCCTTGAAAGTTTCGTATATTTGCTTTCCCACTGCAGCACACCTCACTGTGTACTGACCTGCTTATTTATCTTTTTTTTTAAAAAAGTTTGTTTCTTTTTTAAAACAATCTTAATTTTAATGCTAATCTTTGTGTTTTGTAGTAGTATGTTGTAAGTACAGTAAGATTCCAACACCACACAATCAACTTAAAGCATGTGTCAGTGGTTAAGAGTCTAGAATAGTCTTTGGCAGTTGTCTCAAAATTTTTATGGAAAATGTATTACAGGGACCACCTGGACAGAAGGGTGATCAAGGTGCGACAGAGATAATTGATTATAATGGCAATATCCATGAAGCTCTGCAGGTATGCAAACATAAGGTTGGATTGGCTTAGTCTAGTCTGGGAAAAAGAAGTTGGACAGCATTGTATTTCTCTTTTGCATAAACCTTGAATACGTTTTGTGTGCAAAATTGTTGAGCTTATTAGTCAGCAATCACTTTCTATATTTGGAAACCAGGTTTTCTGTTTGGTGTTAGACAAACTGTTTCCTTGATAAAATTTAGCTGAGTGTATTGGTTCCATGTCCCCTGGAGAATACTGACATCATCTAATGAGGATAAAGCTGATTCATTGCTGGCTCTGGTGTTTAGTGCTGAATTCATGTAATAAACCACATACACAGGTTCAACAGAAGTGTCTGCTTTTCAGTTCATGTAGTATAATATTGACCTTTCTTTTTTTCCTTGTTTTTCTCTTCCTCTTCCTATAAAATGCAAAGAGCAGAATATTTGAGATTTGGAAACCATATAACATGGTTCCATTAGCAAGCTGTGGATTCAATCAGCAACTTGAGTATGTTAAATAGAGCAAGCACCGGTCTTCTCACTTATTCATTTCTGGAAAACCTATTTTGACTGGTGTGCAGAAAAGTGTGGAGGATTAAAGTGGGGTTACAAAAAGAATGAATGAGTGTTTGCATAAAAGCAAAGGACCAAGATGACATATGTCATTGCAGTCAAGGTGATTTACATTGCAGTATACTCAGATGCAAATTCTGTGCAGTATAACTCCACTGAAGTGAATGGCTTGCTTATGTGCAACTGAAGACTGGATTTGGCTCATTGTGTATCTGATCACTTTCTCACTGGAGCCAATGAACTTTTTTTTTGCATTTAGTCAGTGGGAGTGGGTAAATGTCTGACCATGTTTTCAAGACTCTTTTGGAAAACAAAAAAATCTCATTGCCTTTACTAAAATCTAAAAGCCTGTATGTTGTTAAGGCGAAGTCCACTCTTTCATTGTGATTGGTATCTATGGGGAAGTCTGCAGAGGCATGTTGTGAGGCTTTGCATTATATCTATCTCATTTGGTTTGCTTGTATAAGGGAATTCAGGCACACATCTTTCAGTCCACTCTCTGAGTTACATGCCTAAAGTAGCCTGAAATTAATGTTGTATATTACCAGACACAGATTTACCAGGGGCTTTAGCCCCTATATCTCCTGTATTCTGTCTTTGTATCTTAACTCTGGCATCAGTGTTACTTTCAAGCTTCCTCAGAAAACCTGCAGCACATAAAGAAGCCTTAAAAAGCCTTTTGCAGTGGTTGAAACATATTAGGAAGCCCTTATCCCATTGCAAATCATTTCAAATGTCATCACCTTCTGATTCAGGGCAACAAATAATTGATATTAATGGGAATGGCTGTGCAGGGAGGGTGTAAGTAAGATTATACAGGATCAGTTGAAAATATGCTTGCCAAATCCGGCTCAGTCCTTTCAGATGGCATACACCCATTTCTAAGTCTCTTGGTGCCAAATTCTCTGAGATTTGCAGTTTTCTCATGGAAGTATATGAGAACTTCCAGTGCTCAGCACTGACTGAGAACTTGCACATAATTTGCCCTGCTGATTTAAGAAGTTGACAAGAGATTGCAAGTTCTGGGCTGCCTGGCTATTTTTTATAATTCAATAATAAATCATCACGCAGTCTAGCAATTCAGTTACTTTGCCTCTTGCCTCCTGTTCCATCTCATGTGTCAGTGGAGAATGTCTTAGTCCATCAGCACTGAAAATTGCAATCCTAAAATTGTCATCACAGTCCCAGCAAGACCCCTGCTGAGAGTATGTGGCTTTCACTTGGAAGATCGCATACAAAATTCATATCTCTTTGAGAATTGCTCCTTGGACTTACTCTGCAGAATTTCCCAGGGCAAAAAGCAGTAGCTTCGAAAGTATAACATTTGTAGGAACTACAGCATTAGATATTAAAAAACCTTCTGCTGTAAAGGAATCTGTTAGTGAGAATGAGTAAACAGTAATTTGCAATGGTTATTTTAGATTTTCATATCTAGATAAACTGAACTTTTCAGTGTCTTTAAAGTTCTTGATATGTTTCCATTAATATGTTAAAATACAAAGGATACAAGTATATTAAAGCCATGTGTTAGAGAACAATTTTTTCAAGCACTTTGTATTAAGCAGGTTCCAGATTCTTGCCAACAGTATGTATTGTTGCATTGACGTGAAGATTCTTTTAAAGCTTAAAATAGAAGATCTGCAAACCTTTATTTGCACATAAAAAAAATAAGTAAAGCAAAATATTTCTTGTTTCGTGTAGGCCAATAAGTTCTTCCTTCAAAAGGAAAGCATGTGCAAGCTGCAGTATTTCGAGGTTTTACTCTGTTTAAAAATATAGAAAAGCATTTAAGTGAGTTTTAAGCATATTTTCACTTGCCTTTAAATTCTTTGGCAAAAAATAGTGTTAGGTCAAGATATTTTGCCTCCTTCCATGATTAAAATATCTTTTGTCTTTCCAAACATTTAAAGCAGAATTGTAGTATGTATAGGTGGGTTGTGAACTGGCAGTTTCGGATTTTTATATGAAAATCAGTCTTATATCTCCACTCTAGGAATCGTTTCTATTAATTAAACATTAGTGCAAAACCTGCAGACATTACAAAGCATTGGGCTAGTCTTCCAGTCAACTTATGACACCAAATCATCATGTTTTCCTAAAAAATTTTAACAAACCTTTTTGAAGACTTCTGCTATGATTCTGCTATTTAGTCATCATTAATTTGATCTCTTAAGTTGCACAAAAGCCTGCAGTTTTCACCTGTGTAAAACCCTAATCCCCATAGAAGCCAAGAAGCTAGTACAACACCAAGAGTTAAAAGTAACAGGATTTTTATTCATGTTTTTGGAGGTGTGATCTCTCCCAGATTCAGCAGAGGTTCTGTGACAATTATAACTTTAGCAAGCAGAATAATTTATATAATTGTTTAATTCTGCTAATGATGTCTCCTGTTAATGCATTTTGCCAACAGAGGATTGCCACCCTGACTGTCACGGTAATTCCTATTGCATGACTTACGGTGTGTTGTAAAACTTCTCCTTTGTGTTGCAACATGTTCATAATTCTGCTAGCTCAGGACGTGTCTTCATTGGATGTCATATGGTTCATCATAGCATGTATTTATTTGTTTGTTTGGTGTTCCCATAACAGAAAACCCATTGTTGAAAGCCACCCAAAAATGGAACCGATTCTGCTCCTGCTGAATTAATGGCAAAACTTAAGTTTACTTAACCAAGAAACCAGGAAAACAAAGAACTCAGTACTTTAGGTACACATCTAGGCAGACAGCTGCTTTGGAATATTTGGTGTATGTTCCTCTCTTGGGTGTCTACCTGGGAGTCAACTGAAAACATGAAGCAGGATTTGAGTACCAAATGACCTTATTTTCAGGTTGGAAATTCAGTTCTTTCAAATTGGCTTGTGAAGAAATTTCATTTGGGAGTTTTCAGGCCAGATGAAAATTAAACATTTTCTGTAAAGAAAGCTTGCCTCAGTTACTTTACTTACTATAAATAAGTTAAGTAGAAAGCCCAAGTATGAGGAATTCTGTTTTCCCATCTTATCAGATCTCAGAAATAAAGTTAAAATTTCCAGGACCTGTCCCTAAATGTGTGGACAACTGAAGACTTCAGTCTTCTTACTCCAGTCAATTTCTGTAGGAGGTTTAGCTGCATCCAGCCGGACACAGTATCTGAGAATAGTGACATAGGACATAGAGACACCACATAGGAGATGCATATAGTCCTGCAAGTTCAGCCACTCCTTAAAGCTGCAGACTTGGTATAAACAGATTATTTTATTATTCTTTTTTGGTTCAAGTTCTTCACTGCAAGATTGCTGTTAGTCATATTTTCCCATCTGTACATACCCTTTCTTTGTGTTAATTCAGGGAATTTTTAAATGTTGTTGTGGGTTTTTTTTTAAAGCATCCTCACTGTGCACCATCCAGACCAGTATTTGATACGTGGCACTGTGTCCACAATCTGAGGTAGAAATGAATGAAATTACTCCATGGTACTTTCACAAAGTACTGGGTATCCCCAAATGCACTTAACATCTTCTAGCAGAATCCTCTTTGCAATCAGTTGGAGATTTCTCCTGATCTTCACTTGTTTTGAGTCAGGCTGTGAGAGCTGTCAAATGTGGCTGAGGTGAGTTTTGGTCTTCCTTCAATTAAGAGGAGCTTTGCCATTTCCTCAATAGGAGCAGAGGACTTTATGATAAAATATGACCTGAACTGTTCTTTTAACGCTGTTTTTTGTGGTACCCTTCTGGTTGTTGGAGAGTTGTCATAGATTAACAACTTGTCCATAAATGGTCTTGGTTCCCTTTGTGTTCAAAATCTAACCCATTTTGTTACAGTGGCTGTATTAACATTCACCCTGTGCTTACATGGCAAGTTCTTCAGGAATTTATTTAAAAGCTGAGAGGTTTGTATGTTCTATTTAGGGACCACCAGGACCACCAGGACCCCAAGGGCTGCAAGGGCCAAAGGTGATCTTCCTTATTTTACCCATTGTATCTTAAGGGTGGAGTGTTTTTCAAATGATGTATGCACACAGGTAAAAGGAGCTTTCTGGTACAGCTTATTTAACTGTAATTTTACCAAATATGGCATTTTTCCAACTTTGTATCCCAGATTCTTTAACTGTAGCTTTCCAGAATAGGTGCTTTGATTGGTTACCACACACAGATGCTCAACTAAGAGCCAGAAAAATTAATTAGTACCGAAAGTGTGCAGAAGCATCTAACTCAGGGGTCTGCACTGAGGCTGATTCTTAGGACATTGCAAAGTAGCCGCACAACCAGACAGTGGCTCCTATGCCTCACTTCTGGCTGAGTGGGAATGAGGGAGGCAAAACTGTGTGCAAGATACCACTGGACACAGTATGAGTGGATGTGAATGCAGCTTTTGTCATGGTGGTACCCACCCAAATAAGTACAGTATTTTCTAATGTTGGTAAAAATTAAAACAGGAGCCTGTGGGCAGGAGCCTGGCTGGAAACCCAGGCCTGCTAATACCACCTGGCTGGTTCTATACGTATACCAGAAGGGTTAGTGAGCAGCCCACACAGAGGCAATGAATACCATATGCTGCACTGTTTCTATAAAATTTAAATAATAAATTTGCTTATACTTCAAAAAAAAGTGTTGAAGTTAGTGGACTCTCTCTAAATTGCTTTTAAATTAGTTGCTATATTTCTCTGTTTCTTAAATACTAGATATCGCATGTTCCCTCAGTGTCTCTAAGCTCTTCCAAGAGCAAATATTTGCGTCTTCAACAACAAAACTAGACATTTCAGTTTTAGACTTCATCCAGTCTTTCATATGGAGGTACATCACAATACACATGTTCATTGTTTTGAGAAATTGTGAGAAACAAAGTTCATTCTTCTATGTGAAAATTGATAATAGAATACACAATTAAGTGTGCAGAAATTACTTTTTGTGTTATCATCTACCCAGCATTTCTGCAGCCCAGAGTATATTGTAAAACACAGAGGAGTTGGAGTGTGGAGGAGGTTATATTCCTTCATATAGATGAGCATTTTCATTCAAAATCTATGACATAAAGCAGAATTCAACACTATGAGAGTTTGTTTCTGATATCATAGACTCTACCCATCAGTGTTATTTGCTCCCTTAGAGAATGCTTCTCAGGAACTGGTCGTAGGACAGTGTTGTGAATGTGAACTCTTTCACTGGATGATTCATATTAGTCAGGGAAAGAAAAGATGAAGTCTCTGTGTACCTTACATAAGTTGAGAGCCATGATTCCACATTCGTTGTGGTAGTGGGCAAAGTTTCCATTGGATTGGGGTCTTTTCACTCCTGGGATTTTGTCTTCTTTTCATTTCTTTTTATGCACTTGTCTGGTCTTTATGCAACCCAAAGTTTCTGTAGTCTTAATCAGCAGGGCTATTTTTTCGATATAGGAATTATACATATGTTGGGTTTTTTGGAATAATATTCCCTGGCTTTTTTTGTTTTTAATTATTGCAATTTCTCTGCCTCTTTTCTCAAATGTCTGGGACAACTGGGATAATGCAACTCCATCTTATCTTTTGCAGGGTGAACCAGGATCCCCAGGAACGCCAGGAGTTGATGGAGAGCAGGTACATTATGTGTAAATCACATAGTGAAGAACACGTGAGCAATCATATTTCAAGGTTATTTCAAGAAATTTCCATGATCCCAAGCTGTAACTTAGATTTCATAATCTAAATTAATACTATTATGATAGCATTTAATAAAGATTATTATTATGTTGCTGCATAGATCACTCTGTGATCTAATAATGTCTGCATTTCTGCATTGTAATAGCAAAGGTATATGCATGCACGTGACTTATTCAGCTTATTAGGATCAAAGCTAGAATTCTGTTGGTGTTTCTGGTTTTTTTACATAACTTGCTGAATAAGTCCATATTTTAGGGTCTTAAGGGCTCAAAAGGAGATACAGGTGATCCTGGAATGCCTGGAGAAAAGGGAGGAATTGGACTGCCTGGCCTGCCAGTGAGTATGAAAAAATAATTACTTAATTTTAGCTGAAATACTTTTATTTTTTCTCTCTTACATTGTCAGGAATTTCCAACAGTGCTGATAAATTGCAAACAGGACAGAAAGCACTGGGGAGAAAATTCTGAGATTGTTCTGCAGCTAATCTAGGAGGATGTGTAACATTGTCAGAATTTTTCATTACGCTTACAGTCAAAAGCAGTATTGCATTGGGAAGAGGTCCAGAATTGTACCTCTCTTGTAATATGCGGCACAACTCGGTCAAGTGTAGCTTGTAGGAAAAAGGAGCTATGTTTTGAACACTTGTCAGGAATTTCAGATGACTTAGATTGAGGAGCAAGAGAAAATGCATCAATATTTATGGGATGCATTCTTCATATATATATATATAAAATTTCCCAGTAAAAATAGAAACTGTTCTGAAATCGTATCCATAGTAGAATATATCATGAGTGGAATGTCAGATTAAGGAATTGTCAGGAATATCCTGCCACAATTGATAGCTATCAATATAAAAGCATCCCTTTACATTTGTTAACAATTATTTATAAAGTAATCCCAAAACTTTTAAAAAGGGTTTCCTTTATATGTGTGCCGTCTTACTATTTTTTAAAATTAGAATTATTTGCAAATAAATATTGTCATTTCTAGATTGATTGCTAATAAGATTAAAGCTGTTTATAAATGCTGTTTCCTAATGATTTTGTAGGGAGCCAATGGTATGAAAGGTGAAAAAGGAGATGTTGGTTTCCCTGGTGCCCAAGGTCCTTCAGTAAGTCTCAGTGCGGTGTTGCAATGAACACAGGAGTCCAGCAATGGTTCTCCAGCTTTTGATTCTGAACAATACTTCGTACTCATCATGACTGATGTTTCCTGCGAATAAACAGACTTCTGGTCATTGAGCTAAATACAGGTTAAGTTTTAACAGGTTAAGTTTAAGGAATTATACCTGTTCTGTTCTATTCTGTCACTATGAACGACAGTCCTGCTTGCTTCAGTGAAAGCCTTCTGGCTCTGTTATGAATCAAAGTATAAATGGGAAAAAAAAAATCCCCACACAAACCATAACCTGTCTCAACACCTTGTATTCTGGGAATCTCAGAAAGTCCAGTGAGAATCAGACTAGACTGACTTCAGATGTGTGACCAGGGTAGTGACTAGTTTTATGAGACCAGACATTCTCCTGATTTTTTTCAAAGCATTGCAAAGGCATTAAAAAACAAACAGAAAAACAAGGAAAGCAACAAAACCAAAGATAAACTACACAAAAAAACCTACCCCAAGCAAACAATCTCCCACAAAGTACCTTTATGATATGGGTGATTAAGGTTATCAGAGCACAGTAGGATAGGAGACCTCAAAGCAGTTGTTAACTACCACTACCTTCTCACTGGTGACAGAAGACCTTGGTTCTGAGGAATCAGAGGCTCCCCTGTGTTGTCACAGGACAGGATAAGCACCCTGCATCTCTGAGTCTCTTTCTCTGAAATGAAGATTAGTTACAAATTAATTCACAAACTCATTCATCTTGTTCTGCTTGTTTTCACTTGAAGGAAGGCTTTCAGTTTTCAGGAGATTTCACAGATGGTGGAATCTGTCTTAGGTTTCAAAGTGCATCTTGTTGCCACTGTTGCCATCACCAGCAGCTAGTGTAGCAGAGTGGTTGTGCATAAGCCTGGAGACCTGATTTGGCATCCCTGCTGCCACTCTGCAGGTTATGATAACAGCCCTTTGAGATTAAATCCGGGAAGAGAGGTGATATTAAACTGTATATATCATCATAAAATTCCTTCCATTGATTTGTTAGGAACACAGAAAACCAATACAGAATACACATGCACTAAATGCTGAGCAATCTGATTACCTATTTTAATGGCTTTTGAGAATTCTTGGTATAAGTGGTCTAAACTAAATAAAAGGAGAGAGAAAGGGCAATTTTGAAAATATGCCAAAGCCTAGCTTGAATTTAGTATCTTTTCCATTCATCAGTATTGAGGAAGGATAAAATAACACATCATCTTCTTCTGTTTCTCTTGATTAAGTAGTACAAGAGAAAACTAAAGAGCACGTACCATAAAATGTTAAAATTTCAAGCATCCCTGCTCAGTACTGTTTGTTTTACAGAGATTTTTTTTTTTCCTCATAGTGTCTTAAAGTGTATCGTAGACCCTAGGAATAATAATCAGGAGACAGGCAAGCTGCCATATGGCACAGGCAAATCTACACTTTTGGTACCCTGTCTTTCAAATCAAAATACTTCCCATTCCTAAAGCCCCGTCTAGATACACTGTCAGTGTTCACTGTTGCATTGCTGTTTTTGTAAGTACTTGCCAACAGAAGGAGGGTCAGTCTGACTTCTGGTATTTTTGCAGGAGTTCTTTACTCTGCATGATTTAATGCCATTGTTTTTTATCTGTAGATGATAGGACCACCTGGACCACCAGGGCCACATGGTCCTCCAGGCCCTATGGTAAGCTTGGGAGGAAGAGTGGGGCTAGAAAGGGCTTACGCCCTCTTACCACTTTAATGCCTGCTTACTAGAAGTGTTATGAGAATACGTGGCCACTAGAGAGGGATCTAATTTACAAATTTTTTTGCATGTCTTAAAATTCATAGGAAGTAAAGAAAAAAGTTTGCACCTGCCTATGTTAGTGTTAATGTGCTAGTGATCTGGTTCAACCTAAGAATCAGGTGTTTACAGGTGCTTTATTGACAGCTGCATTTTGTTTGTGATAACAAAAATATAGGTGCAACTTGCACCCCCATAAAGCAACAAACCCTTAAAAAATGGTGGTGTATTTTTGTAATGAAAAATGGTATCTTTATTTTCAGGGACCTCATGGACTTCCTGGCCCCAAGGTAAATTAATACCTGTCTTGAATAGTCACACTCTCAGTGTCTGCAAAGTGTCATGCTTCGCTCTTTAACACATGTTTTGTCATGTCTCATTTGATAAATGTTTCTGATATTCTTAAACCTTAAAGCAGATTTTAATATTAACAGACAGCTTAAAAGCTTTTTAAATTTTCTGTGATTCTTTCTGAGTAGTATTTCTCCTCAGCATTAGCTGAGTTCCTTTTATGTATTGATATATGTGATATGGCACTGAATTATTTAGTTTCCTGTTTATGGGCAAGCTACTATTGTACTTGGAATTACTTTGGAACACAGAAGCGTGTTACAGGCTCAGGAAATGGAGTCAGATAAACTCTATTTATGCTCTCTTGTATCTCCTGCTTCTTCCAGTGTGCATGGCCTTTCACCTTCTTAGGCACCATGTATTTTACTGAGCAGTTACTTCACATGTTATGCTCGTTCACCATCACAAACTGATGGGTGTATTTTCATGTTTTCCAAACTGAAATTTCTGATCAGGCAGGTCTGCAATGCTATTTGAACAGTTCCCATAGCATATTACACAAGGATATACTGTAGGGACTCAGTGCAAACAGCTCAGGAGGGTAGAAGTGAATTTTGGCAGAGTTGAATATTTTAATTTGTGCTTTAATTCAGTAATCACTAGTAAGCTAAAATTGAGCATGACACTGTAGCATAGCATTTGTTAAGGCCAGTGGTCTTGTCAGGATGAACATTTGAATCACCATGGCTCCCTAATCACATCTACCTTTCCCAAAAAGTAAGGAAGAGAAGGACAGGGCCTTTCTTGTTTAATTTTTGGAATTTGTTTTGACTCCTTATGAGACTGTTCATGTTACCTTGGCTCAAGAAGCCTGAGTCATAAATCATTTTTTGAAATCAAGACTGTTCCATCTTAGCACCAGCCCTGCCTTACCTCAGGCTTTTGGCCTGAGACTCAGGCTTTTGTGGGATTTCTCAGGTCTGTTTCCAAAACTTCAGCTTCAGTGCTACTGCTCTGAAAGTCACATCGAGTCAAATAGAAGAAGAATGAAGAAATGGCTACTTAGGCAGGGTGCAAAGCAACAGATGATGTCTGGAGTTACTTAAAGGAGCAGACTAGGTTCTATGGAGATTTTTTTTTAAAATATGAATATGGTATAAGGTAACATAATACATTGAAGAGAAAACTAGGAATGAGGCCATAGGGAACAACCTGGATGAAGAACCCATGTATTTCTGTTTCCCAAAAGGGTCAAGTGTGGTCAGTGTTCTTTTTGACTGAGCAGCCCTCATACTGATGTAGTTTTTCATTATGGGAGAATGATCTGTTAGCAACTCCAAGCCCACTGTTATCCTCGTAGTGATGTTTAATATAATAGCCTGTGCATAATTTAACAATCACAACAAGACAAAGTGCCATTTTGTATGTTGTTAAAACTTCTCTGTATGAAGACAGAAACTATGGACCTCCCAAATAGCTTAGCATTGTGTAACCCGTGCTGCTTTTAATTTGTTATTGTTTAATTGTGTATGCTTAAAGGTTTAAAATATCTTTATGTAAGATTTTGCTGCAAATTCCAGTTTGCTGTAAGGAAAAGTATTGCTTCCTCACCAAATATACTTTTCAGGAGATCCCACTGTAGAAACCTACAGTTTTGAGGCTTATTTTTCTGAACATTTTCTTTCAATTGGAATTATCTGCATAGGGTGGTTTATGGGATTTGAGGGATTTCCAAAACCCCCTGAAACTCATTCTTAATTCAAACCATCTAACTATAGTGGCAATTATTAGGAAAAGATTAAAAAAATGTGTTACTCCCAAGTTTCCTGTAGGTTTTTTTACACAGATTTTAAATTTCCAGCAGACACCTCCCAAGTGCTTTTGCCCAGTATTATATTAGTATGTTAATTGCCAGTAAACTGAGAAAGTTGAATTTGTGTCCTTGTTTCAAACTGGAATTTGCAGCTATTTCTGAGTCTGGCTTCTTCTATCCCAGCTTAAGCATCCATTATAGCACCAAAAATTTGGCATTTATACTTTTACATTTAGGGTGAACCAGGGTTAAATGGTCTTAAAGGATTGAAGGGTGAACCAGGTCAAAAGGGTGACAGAGGGCCCCTTGGTCTTCCAGTAAGTAAAAAAACCCAACTATTCAATCTCAGTGGAAATCACAAACTTTTATTTCTACTCGTGATGAACAACTCTGAATTACTTAGTAGCATACACAGAATATACCATGTTAGAGCAGAGCATAAGTCTTGTTTCATTTTGTCCCAAATCTGTGCTATTGTCCAAAGTATCATCCTATAACACCAGTGCTGTCAGGTTTGGGTTTTTTGTTATGTGTCAGTTGAGAGTCTTCAGTGTCATAAGGATGCCATCACCCCCATTACATTAGTCATACTGTTATTTAAGTGTTGCATGGTGTTTGCGTTAGAAAAGGAATCTTCCCTTTCCTCCGTCTCCTCAGTTATTCTTCCTTTGGTTGCCCTTCTGCAGTTAAAATGGAGAGGTCTAACTGAGAAAAGTTAAAAATTGGTTTAGGGAATTTAATTTTTTTTTCACTGATTGTTATTTTTTCCTCCCTCTTTAGAAAATTTCCATTCTGAGTGTTTGGCATACATTTTTTCTTAGAAGGAAATGAAGAACCCTAAAAATATGGAAACATTAATATGTTAAAATTTAGGATAATAAAATAGAAAATACTTTATGTGTTTGAAAGCATGCCGAAAAGATAGCTTTACTTTTTTTCTCACAAAAGGAGTTCATTTTTCCTTTTGTTGTGATGTTGTATAAGGATTATTCCCTGTGGTTATATTGTTAACAGTAAAATGGAGAAAAAACGCTTAGGTGACCCAAAGAAACAAACCCCTCTGATTAATATTTTCAAGAATTATGTGCAGGGCCACTGGAAGAGGTCAACTTCACTGAGAATTTTAGTTTTAATTTACTTTGAGAAAAAAAATCATTTTCACATTGACAGTCACGCCTCTGTAGAGAGTGTGTTTTGGAGGCCTGAGCCAACACCCTGAAAATGGCTAAAAGGTAGAAGAAAGTTTTATTTCTTCCAGAAATGTTTGTTCTAACACAGAACAAAATACGCTATTAGTTTTTCAAATTTACGTAGATCTTGTCTTCTGCTGCTTATTGTTTCTGAATGTAATTTTCAGGAGCAAAGTCGAAGATTTTGATGTTCCATGGCTCATTTTATTGAGTTGGGTGGAGTTTTTTAGTTGGGGTTTCTTTTTGGTTTCGTTTGGGTTTTTTTCTGGGGGAGTGTCCCACAGATTATTCCCTATGTCCCGACTAGTGTTGTCTCCCGCCCTGCCCGCACTGCAGCGCTCTCTGCTGCTCTGTTATTCCCACATAATCCACGAGGGGTCACCCCATCCCCAAGGATGCTGAGGCACATAGCCCAGAGGGCCGGGTGCTGCTGTTGCAGCCCTTGTCTATGCTCTGAACTGGGAGTATATTGGGAAAACAGGAAATGTGATTGTCTCCAGGGCTCTTGGAAATGAATGAGGCCATTGTAGTCAGGATCCAGATTTTGTTGGCTGCATAATGCAGTATTCTTACACTTAAATATTTCCTATCACAGTTAACACACATTTTTCTTCCTTTGTGTATAGTATTCAGTATTGTCGTTATTTACAAATTAGAAAGCATGCAAGTAAATTACAAAGTAAATATTTGTGTGTTAAGGCTCAAAACCACCCTAACATCTGGTTTTTGTAGCACTCCTATAGCTTGACAATATTCTGGTCTAATATACTGTGATGTGAGGACAGGGGTGGGTCAGTGATGTGACACTAAAGTGAGAACAGAATCAGGCTCCCGATGTTTTATGTGAATTTTTAACTAACAATGATGTAGTAATGTGATACCCATTCCAGAACCCTGTCACAACTTGTACTGTACGTTTGAATTATGTTTATTCATCAGTACCACTTACTAATCTCATGTTCTTGTCATTGGTGTTGTACCCATCATCCATGCTTCCACCTAACCACACAGGGAGCATCTGGCTTAGACGGAAAGCCAGGACCCCGGGTGAGTCCCTTGTCTTTCTGTGTCACTCTTCGTTACCGAGTCCATGTCCTTCCCAGGGGCTCTGCCAGCCATGCTCACACACTGCACGGAGGAAGAAAGGCCAAATGCTGCAGGCATTTTCCATGCTGTATTAGAGGGGCCTTCAGACAGACTCTTAGGGCAAAACGTGTGGGAAGGATAGTGTAATTCTCTGTAGAAGGAGTTCTGAACATTAAAAAGGCGGTTTAGTTTTGATTTTTGGTTGGACAGCTGCCTTAGTTGGGTTGTTTATTTTCTTGAGTAAGGTTAGGGATTAAGGTTAGGGATCTGACTAGAAGGATGGTTTACCTCGTAACAGGAGAGGTTATAGGTGGAGTTTTGAAAGCCAAATGGATTTGTTCAGCTAGGTCCCACCACAATTAAGTTTGAATTTTCAGCCAGTGAAGACTGATTCCATGTTAGTTCTTGGCTAGAAGACAGCTATTAAAACTAAAGAGTTGCAAGAACAAGACTTTGCTCTTACCCTCTTTGTTTCCTTTTGCAGGGTATAGATGGCTCGGTTGGTCCCCATGGCCCCGCAGGTCCTAAAGGAGACAGAGTAAGTATATATTCTGTGTGCTTCTCTTTACAAAATGACTGCCACAATGGAAAAATCTCGTATGGATACTTATATTTTACCTTTATTTATATTTAGGTGTTGCTAAACACAACAGTATCTCATCTCTGTAAGGATCAGCCCAGAACTATATGTGTTCTAGTTACACATGAGTTTATCTGTTTAAGAGTTGACATTGTAACTCGTTAACTTCAGAGGACCTGGTATTTTGAAATGCCTGATCAGTAAGAAATTGACAGCACTTTCAAGTTCACAGTACCACGCAGAACGTAATTTTTGTTGGCTTCATTATTTTGTGTAAATTGAACAAATAAACTGGGACAAAATATAATGTGATCTGATTACATAAGAATGCAGTGGCAAAAAAAAGAAGAGTATTTCTCTCCTGTATGCACTTAACTGTTTTTATCCAGGAAAAGAGTCTCCAAGCTCTGTAAAATTTAAAATTTTCTTCCTGTTTTTTTTTTAAGCTTAGAAAATAGGAGCCCTCCTTTTTCATTTGAAATATTCACAATAAATTTTCTCCGTGAAAATAGGATAGGAACTCTTAATTTTTAAGTGTGAGCCTGTCACCTTTAACAATACAACCAGCAACATATACAACAAACCAGATGATACCTCATACTAACTAAAACCTCCAGGGAGTTGCCAGTCCAGAATTTTGTCTCTTTGACTTTCTCACTTTTAACAAAACAACTGTGCTAAAGCAACTTCAGACTTGCTGTATTAAGGACACAGCCACATGGCAGAGGTCCAGTTAGCTTCAACAGCAATACGTCTGAGAAAGGTATGATTCATTTTTACAGAGCCGTGTGCTGAGAAATAAATTCAAAACATGCAGCATAGTCCAAAGTAGGAACAGTAGACTGTAGTTACCACTTAGGTTAGTTAACTATCTGAAGGACTTGGGAATTTCTAATCCCCTAGAATTTTTCTAGGGGATTACAGGTTCAATTATCTTTTTTTCAACTGTTTCTTCGATCACCTCTGTAAAACGATAGTTGAACATCATCCTCTGATCTTCAGTAAATAATTTAGATGAGATATGCTTGTAGAAGTATATAAAAATAGCATTTTATTCTTGCATTATGAGCTTTTATGTTAAAGGATATGCACACATACTACCAGTTGAAATGTCTTTGAAAAACAATGTGCTATAATATAAACTATTCTTCTAGTCTGTGGAAAATAACTATTAATATTTTTTCTTGTGAGAGTGTGCAGTCATAAGAAGTCATACATCTGGATCTAGAATCAGCCCTACTGTGGCTGTTGACAAATAGTAGTTACAAAGGGGGTGGGAATGGCTGTGATGTAAATCAGTTCAATAATTGCATGAGCACAGAGGGAGAGATTTGCGAAAATATGGAGACTAAGGTGTGCAAGAAATTCCTGCACACCCACTATTTTCTGTGTAGCTAAATGAATAGGAGGAAGTTCACGAGACAGATGGAAGGTTTTTTCCCAAGCAATCAACTAGCAAGATTGTTGCTGTAATTGTTCACTTAATTATTCAGTACCATTTGGGAGGAGTTGTTTGTAGCATAGTTATGTAACAGGTGCCTGGCGTTGATAGACGTCTTGTTACCTAAATAACAAATGATGTGTTTTCAACAGAATTTTACAACTTGCATTTGCAACTCTTGAACTTGTTTATGTGAAAGCAGGAGGAAAACATTTTTGCCTGCAGATTTCAGACTTTACTTTTCAATTAAAAATAGTGCATAGTGCCACTGCTCACTAGTGCTGGATAGGACCACATTTTGTTGTACTGACAGGAAAAACCTTGGGCATTAGGGTTATTCTACAGAATAATCATGGATTCATTGTTGGACAGGCTGCATTCAAGGCAGTGCTGAATCACTACTCTGAAGTAGAACAGGCTGTTGCGCAAATTAGAGGGGATTGGTTGGTTTTCAATTTAGCTATTTAATTAAAATAGAAAACATCATATCATCTTTGTACAAAATTTGTTTAGATGGTGAGAAGGTAGACTAAGAAAGTCATGCATGACAGTATAATGTGATTTTCTGCATTTCTTTTAGTAGACCAAAATGGTAATTAATACTGTGAATTAACATGATTTATTAGGCTGGTGTCTTACAGTCCTTATTAAATTCTTCAGCTATTGGAAATACCATTTTGCTAGGTGCTTAGGGAGATTTTACTGAGACCATCTTTATTAAATGGAGGAATTGATCGTAATAGGCCTCTTAATCTGTGTACTGATTAATCATATTTATATACCATCTTGAGAGAATATAGAGAACACTGGAAAACAGATAGACATCTTAAACTATTACTACTGAAAGGGGACATTTAAGCCTGAATGGTAATGACAGGCATAGTGTGTATCCAACTTCTTGACCATCTAAAGGATCTGAAAGCTGGAAATGCACATTTCCCTATTTTCCTTTTTTTTATTTTATTTTTTTCCTTGATGTCAAAGACCTGTTTTTGAGCTTGATTTTGGCTTTCAGATGTGTAGCCTGTGCAACCCTTTCATCACTACACACGTTTTGTACTAGTAAGGAAGGTGCATTCTCTTTAATTTGGTTAAAATGTTTCTCACTATGGCAGTGTTATAAAATCTCCCTATCTATCTTAAAGGAGACACTAATTATTCAGCTTTAATCATACAAATGGTAATTCATATTCATCCATGATTCAGGAGACGGAAGTGAAATAGGAGGCAAAAACATATACTATGGTTTCTATTCTTTGGACACTGATGGATTGTCTTACAAAAATATTAAAAACCTTCTTGAAGTTTGCAAATATCTGCTTCTCTGAAGGAAATGCTTTATCAGGATGATTGAGGGCAATATACTCATGACAGTCCATCAATCTTATATAATCCATAAACATTCAGGACCTCATCTAATATTCCAGACACATTTCATCATGTGCTTTGTCTTGGGCAAAAATTCTGAGTTACACTTCTCCAAATATATTCTTACATAACAGATGAGATTATTTCCTAGACTGATACATTCAGTATCTTTATGTCTACCATATGTTTAGCAACTTTATAAGCCTATCTTAAGAGGACTTTGTGCAGTCATCTTTGCTGTTGAAGATTTTAAAAAAAAAAAGATAACTAGTCGACATATTTCAAGTATTGATCAAAAAGTTTTGTAACTGTTACATACATAGGTCAGCACATTATTTTCTTCATATCAGAAAGCTTTAAAGGTGCAAGGAATTTGTTGTTTTGAAAATCAGCTGTTACTTCCCAATACCTCCTATTGTTCTGCAAGGGCATCCAACCTAAGTGCTGCTCAGAAATAGCTGGGGAATAATAGAATCCAGAAAGATCAGACATTGCATATCTAATCACCACTAGACTAAATAAGTGTCCACCTAAATAAAATATGAAGTATTTAAAACAGGTCAAATGTTTAAATTTGAGAAACTCCTTATTGCTGTGATGATTCAGCCGCAGGTTCAAATTAATTTTTTTTCTGGTGCCTGCTTTTTTGTATAATTCAGTCAATGAAATTTAGACTCAGCAGCTCATTTTCAGAACTGTGCCAAGGACTTAGCTGTGCCGATGATCACCACTATTAATTAGGTACACATCTACATCTATGTCTTGTGCTTTTAATAATAGACTCATTAATTATTTAATAATAATTAGTAAATAACCCAGAGGATTATTTATAGATAATTATCTCAAGAGCATAATGCAGCAAGTGCTAGGATGAAATACAGCACTTCTGTATGCCAGGAGCCTTGCACGAAGCCTTGCATTAGGTTAGGTTCAGGAAAGGAGGTGAAGAAGGGATCCTGCTTAACAAAAACAGAGTAGGAGCTTTGAAAACTCGAGGTGGTCAGGATTTTTTTTTTTCTTATTTTATCAACACTTGGAGCAGTTTAATTCTCAAGAGAGAGTATGGCTTTTCTGATGGATTTTATTCAGAAAAAAGAACACCACAGTCTGAAACAAGACTGCTGCCCGCACCTACGTATCAGCCCTGACTCCCTAACAGGCTCACAGGGATCTGTGCTTGAAGTTACCTGGGTAATGCTGCTGACTTGGGAAATTTGACTTCATGACAGTCTTGATAAAGAACAATCAGAGAGCAAAGGTGATTACTACTGTCAACCTGAAATTTATCATCTTGAAATCTCACTTCATTTGGAAAAGTTTGCCCTATATTAAGCTTACAAAATGATTTTGGTGGCCCCCGTCTGGTAAGTTTTCCATGGATTTTAGTGCAGAATGAGATCAAACTTCTGGAGTCATCTCTGTACTTACTTGTTCGTCTTCCACATTAATATAGTTTTGATATAATAAACCAGGGTATTTACATCACTAATCTAGAATTCAGTAGAGCATTTAGCAACACAGTACAGTGCATAGGATAATCTTCACAATGTCACTGTTAATAGCATTGCCTACTTAAATACAAGCTTTGACTGACACATTATTTTTGCCCGTCACTATGTCACATCTCAGCTGCTCTGTTGAAGCTTGATGCTGTATGTCCTTAGTTTTCATTACAACATTAGATTTTTACTGAGAGCAATGTTGCATCTGTCACAAGCTTAAAATTGACATTGGTGCAAGTTCGGTTTGAAAAATATTTTCAGTTACTAATGTATTTAAAAATGAATGTAGATATCATACACCTTAAAAGCTATTTTGCCTAGAAAGTAACACACACCCTCTCTTTGCACCTTAAGCATTTAATAAAAATAAATGAGTTTGGATATTTTTCACTCAAAATATTTAGGAATGTATAAACTTTAACCTGAAGCACTTGGTAGAGATAATTTCTAAGATCGACAATGGTTTTGTTTGCTTGTTGTGTAACCTTTTCTTAGGGTGAAAAGGGGACTGTAGGTGACCCTGGACCCAGAGGACCATACGGCTTGCCTGTAAGTTGCACAGAGTTTGTACACACTGCACTTTTCATCAGTCCTTGATTAAACTTTCTGTGCTTTATGGCTGCTTTTCACCTAGCAATAGAATTAGTTGGAAAAGGTGAAGATAGATAATAAACCCTGACAGTGCAAGGTCAATGGTCTGTATCACAGACTTAGATTCCTACCCATGCACGTAACGAAACAGATCTGACATGAATCAGAAAGAGAGAGGAAATCCAGAATGCATGTACTCCTGTTTCAGCAGCTCGTGTACATCAGCTGCCCAGGGATCATGTGAGAGTGCCAGGAGTTCAGGATGAACTGCGGAAAGATGTGAATTTCTTAATGTCAGTAAGCTGCTTGGATTTCCATACTGCAAGGCTACTTCGCCGTTATATTTCCATTTTGTTTGACACTTCAGAGACCTGTTTTGTTTTAATTTCTGTGCCAGAAGCAGTATGAGAAATTCATTGTGGCCCATTTGTAGGTGGAAGTGGTATGCTTTAAATCAACTGTTTAAATTATATTATCCATTTCTAAAACATGAGAGGGAACTTCCTTTGGCCTAACAAGGATATCCCAAATAAAATTAGTTGACTTACTGTATTTACACTGCTAATGACTGAGTCAGGTGTGTACATGTACATATGTCTTTTCTGTACTTTCATGCAAGAGAAACCTTATAAATATGCTTGACCAGGAACAACCAGCCTTTCCAAGAGACTTGCAATGTTTCCATACGCTCTCCAGTCTAATCTGCTTGATTAATTAATTTAAGCTGGAATACAGACCTATGGTTTAATTAGATCCATTTAATTGGATCAGGAGTCAGTTACTAGAGACAGTTTTCAGGCTCCATGAAGTGTTAAATTAGCTTGCCATGCATTTTTATCCAAGGGTCACTTTTGTGAGTTAAACTGGAAAAAAAAAATACAATTTCTGTTTCCCCTTCCTGTGAACTAAAAATAAAATTAAAAAATTATAGGCTTTTCTGTATTTTTAGATTAGTCCTGGAATCTGCCTACAAACAAAATTTTACTGTCAAGCAAAATTTTACAGTCAAGTTGTCAGTTCCTGGAAATGTTAAACACTGACCGCAGTGTCCTCCGCTGACAGCAGTGCTGTGTGTGCAGCCTCAGCAGCGTGGGGTGTCGCTGTGCAGAGGGGGCACAGAAGCTGGGCCTCAAGCTGGCTGTCGGCACCATGGATTAGGATGCTAATGGAGTTTCTGTGGTTCTTTGGCAGGGCAAAGATGGCGAGCCTGGCCTTGACGTAAGTAATATCTATGACCAATGCACTCTCAATGGTCGGTAAGCGTCTTCCAAGAAATAGCTTATGGAGCATAACACCTTTGTTTCCATTTAGTGTGCGTGCAGTACATACAGAGAGTGTGCTAAATGCCTCATTTGCTCTTTCTCTATGATAAAAGGGGACAAAGATTGTGTGATATACAGCCCTTATCGACAGACACCACCAGATGTGGTGCTTAGTAATATAAGTAGCTGGTTGTTTGGATGTCAGTACGCTGAAAAACTGTGCTTGCTAAGAAAATGTTCAGGCTTGTGACTCATTTGTAGAAGAACAAGGAGTCACTGACACTCAGTTAAGTAAATTTATTCTAATTAAAGAATAATAATTCCATAACCTGTAATGGATACATTTCAAGGCATAATCTCTTTCTTTGGCATGCTAAAAAAGGCTTTCAGTAAGCCTTTTCCTCTAGTTCTATGCTGAAATCCCTAACTCGAAGGAGTCTTTTTCAGAACATACATATGCTAACATGGACTGTTGCCATTTTGAGTGGTATGATTTCTTTCTGTAGCTGGCAAATTGCCTCTACCAAACTCTTGGAGTTACTTGTCTCTCATGCTCGTGTCTATGTATGTGTCCACACATACATATACACAGCATGTAGTGAAATAATCTTTTTATGATTTCCAAGAGTATTTGAAAACTTAACCTGCATGTGAATAAAAATGAACCTGTCTTTGTCCATTTTGTTTTCATAGGGTTTCCCTGGTCCTCGAGGAGAAAAGGGTGATATAGGAGAAAAGGGAGAAAAGGTGACCACAGTGTTATTAACTGTTGCTTGATTCCCCAGCCTAGTCAGTTCTGCTGTCTTTATGCTCTAAATTGTCCCATTAAAACTTATTTTTGTTTTTACTGTGTGCCAAAAGGCCAGTCACAGATACATTCTAAGCAAAATCATGAAAAACCACAAAAATGTATGCACAGAAATAGTAATATCCACATGTCCCGAAGTACAGCTTTTTATTTTAGGCACATTTTTTCCAATCCATCCTACTCTTGTTGAAAATCCTAAAATATTTCATCAGAATGACATTAGTCATTCTGGTAGTAATTTTATACTGAAGAGCCTAGCTCTGTTCCCTGGCAGTTTATCCTAGTGTACCATGCCTGTACATGCTACCTGTCCCACACCAAATGGATAAGACAGGAACTGTTTGAATTTTTATTTTTGGCAATGTCTAATTTACAGTTAAGTACTTTGTGATACTTGTGGATTGAAATTAAATCATATATTCTACATTCTGGTAAACCAACTAGACAGTGAAGTTAACAGGAAAAGCCTAACTTCATTTTCAGTGTTCAGTGACTTGGAAATACGTTTAGTGAAAAGTAATTCAGGATTTAGAGTGTGCAGAGAAAGCTCAGAAGCAAATCTCTCCCATTTCTATCCAACACAGAGCCCAGTTGCTGAAATGCTGAATTAGAATTCACATCAAGCCACTTAATATGAAAATCCACACACACAGCAGGCAATTTTTCTAGGTCTATTTTTTCTACAGCTATTTTTGTCTAGCTGACATGTACAGGGTTATGCTAGGTCCATTTCTCATCATGGTGTCCCAAACAAGGTGCAGGGTTAAACAGTCACTGGGTGTAGGAGTTCATCTCTTTTTCTTAATACTGTCAGGCAAAGCACTTCCCAAGAATGGATTGAAAAGGGTACTGTGAAATATATCCTTCCCTTCTCTCCCTTGTTATATTGCTTATCTCAGGCTCAGAGATCACCAGTAAAGTACTGATTTTGCAGAACTGTTGCTTAAGCAGGTGGTCCATGAGTATTATAAAGGCAGTGGGTGACCTGACGGAGTAATCACAGTGAATGGTGAGCTCTGGCTGTTCTCAGAGATCACAGGTCTGTCACAAGTGAACAGCTGTTCTCTTTTGAGAGCAGTTATCGGTAGAAAGGTGTAACTGATAACTGCCAGCTCTGAGAGGTGACTGGCAGGATGGCCAGCTTGTGTTAAGTGGCAGTTACAGTAGGTGCCAAATCGAATGAGCTTAACAGTGTCTTCTCATACTGAGATACATTAGAAAGGTTGTGTCCAGAAGACAAAAATAAGTTATTACACCTCTCTAATCAATCCCAGTGAGCTTGCTTGAATACAGCAGATGGCCTTTTGAGCCTCCCAGTTCAAGAAGAACTTGAGAAAGTGGAGAGTAAGAAGGCTACCAAGATGGCAGAACTCTGGGGCAAACATAACCCATATAAGAGGTTGAAGGAGGTGAACTGGCTTAGTCTGACAACGAGGAGGCCAAACTACTTGAAAGGGGAGATACAAAGATGATGGAGCAAAACTCTTCTGGATAATGGCAGGTGGTGAAACACAGGACCAGAAGCTGCTCCTGAGAGGTTCAGAGCTGCAGTTAGGGCAGCGTGGCACTGGGACAGTGTGTCCAGGGAACGTGGCTGAATGACTGCCCATGGAGCACTGCAGAATCTGGTCTGATCTGATCTAAGGTCAGGAATCATCCTACTCAGGATGGGAGGTTAGAGTAGGTGACCTCCAGAACTCCCTTCCAACCAGACCTTCTGAGTCTGTGTTTCCATGTCCAGCTAGAGACAGGCAGAGAAAATCCAGCCATTAGAGCCCCCAGATCATCTCTGGAATTAAAAATGGAAAGCTGGTAAAAAGTTCACTTATACAAATATGATATGATATGAAAATGGGACAGCTGAGATTCTTGCTCTTGGGATGTGAAAGTGTTTTAATGTCCCTTAGTCCAGCATGCTGGTTTTGTATATTAGTCTGTTGTTCCCAGAGACTTGACCAAATCGGTCAAACACAGGACTTCAGTTGCAAGGGAGCGAGGGAATTGCGTGTGGGAATCGTGTGCTGCCACAGGCACAGCTAGGTCCTTTTCGGAGTGCAATTGTGATTTAGGCTATCTGTGGCGACTTGTTCTCATGAGCTGCAGGACACATCACCTAGGAAGTCTACTCCTCCATCCCCCAAAAATTCAGGAAAAGGCAAAGCCTGTTTCCTGAGAAGAATGCTTGGAATAAAGTTAGTGTGACAGATGTTTCAAAACCCACATTATTTTGTGGACTTTCAGATTAACAGGATTGCCAGGAAGTCTGTAGAGTGAAAAAGGAGGTGGAATATCTGCCTTAAAAATTCTCAGAATATTCAAATAAAATTAGAAGGCAAAGGAAGTTCTTTCCCAGTGAAAAGTCTGGGAAGATATGGCTGAAAGCTCTGTGAAAGAGACTTCTATTGCTGTTTTAACTTATTTTTTTCAGAAACTGGGGAATATTTGTATCATGTAAGTAAACTGATTTCACCAAAATTACTTTAGCTGCATCAGTAGTTCTTTTTCCAAATTAAAAGCTGACTCTCAAAAGACACAAAGTAATGCAATAAATCAAAGCTTTCATTATAACAAATTTTCTCAGTGTTTTTCCTTGTGTAAATTACTAATTATCGATGACCAAATTGGTGTAACAGCACCCATTTCAATAGAGATAAATCAACTTACCAGTTAAGCATCCAGCTTATGATTTCTTGGTTTTCTAATATTTCTTACAGTATTGACTGTTGGACTGACATCACAAAATTGAGATTAATGAGTTTCTAGTTAAGAAACTTAACTCAAATTCCACTTCAAAAATATGTATCATTACTAACATTCTAAAGAGAACCCATGACACTTATTTTTTTCATAGATATGCAGGGAATAAATCTTTACTTCTTCAGTTTGAGGTGAGACTTGGACTGCTGTTTTTATTTTAGCCCATCAGCAGTTCTGCTACGGTGAAAGCAAGTTAGTGTTTGCATTATAATGTCCGCTTGACTTGGCTGTAATAATATTTTTTAAAACCTTCTAGCTGTGATTACTCAAATTATAGTCCAGGAGCACTCATCACGAAAAAGATTTGTACAATTGATTTTGTATTTTCATTGTATGGATAGAAAAAAATTCTTTTAAAAAGGAATAACTTTTAATGAAAGTTAGGATTTGTGTTGTGGGGAGAGGGAGGGAAGGAGCCCTTGGTCCCAAATGCACAGTTGTGTCTGTTGTTATAAATTTTGACAGAAGAGTATGATGTGTCTGAACAGAGAATGAAAAGGCATTATCCTTTTCCCCTACACTCTGCATTGATAAAAATATGTGCACGTGAGGATTGGAGGTTGTTCCAACCAGAGCGGTGTTGCAGAAGTGCCACAACTTTGTATTTCTCTAGGCACTGAGGAAGAGCAGAAAGGAATTTTTTTTTTATCTTCATCAGATGTAGATTTTCCATATCTCCTGTGGGCCTCTGTACTTGAGGACAAGGAGTAAAGATTAAAAAGAAATAACTCAGTCTTATGTAAAAAGTAGTAAAGTACTCAGGAAATTCAGACTATTGTCTGCACAGATGACTGCTGTGTTGCTTTGAATAAGATCATAGATCTGTCCTGCAAAACTGGAAGTTTAAATAGATATCTGCTGGCTTGTAACACAACAAGTTAAAGAAATGCAAATCTTAAAGAACAGAAAAAGAATCAGAAACCAAACTGTACAGTCCATTTTCAGAATCCTTTTTGGAGTATGTCCATGCTTTGTGCTTGCATACATTCACTGCAAATATATTGGTGTTATACTGAGAACAAAAAACATGAGAATTGACCTTGAAACTGTTGGGTTTCTCTGCTACGCTGCTGTCTGTCTGGGTTTAAGGTGGAAACTTAGCAAATTTACAGTTCTTGTCTCGTGAAGATTTCTTTTACATCATAATCTTATCATTTGATAAAGAAGGGTAATGTTTGGGTTGCTATTTTCCCAAATATTATCCTGTGACTTTTTGGCACACAGAAAAGATAGACAAGTAACTTTGCTTCTAGTATGACATGAATGCAGTATGTGTTGTTCATGAAACAGTTTTTTCCATTTAAATATGTCAAATATGTTATGATATTAAATGACTAATATGCTTTCCTTCCTTTTTAAAATCTGATTTATATAATTATTTTTTTATGTGTAAAAATGGATTTTATCTCTTGTTAATAGATTAAGTCTTTGTGTACTGGTGTGGACCAAGTTAAATGTCTGTTTACTATGCTTCGCCTAAATCTGTCTGTTCTTCCAAAGGGGCATTCCTTCCTTCTCCTTCTACCCTCATTCCTTACAATTCCTCTGTCTTTTTTACCCTTTTCCTCACCAATGAAATCCTCCCAATAGCCACAACCTCGCTTGCTGGTTCTCCAATGTCATACTAATTTTCCTATGACTATTTTTCCCATTTCTTTGTGATATTCCTGGTTTACTCATCCTTCCTATCCCATTTTTTACAATCCTAGTCCAATTTGTTAATTTTTTTAACTGATCCTTTTTGATTTTTGTGAAATTGAGAGCAAACCTGAAACTCATTTACCATTGTGATCAACTGGTGTGAAATCAATTATAAAATGAACCCTCTAAACATCTTATACTGCTTGAAGGTGAGGTCATCTTTGCAGGTAGCTTTGCTGAGGGTAATCAATCATTTCCATCAGAATTAAAGCATTGGAAGTTTCACATTTAAAAAGAAAACTCAGTGTGAAATCAAAGGACTGAATTTTGTTAAAATAAGTAGATGAAACATTGCCTGCAAAAGAGGGAATGTTGAACTATTTGGATGTTGAAATATTTAAATAAAGAATAATTATCACTTCTGATTACTTTCTGATACCAAGACAATATGAAATCATTGAAAGTGTCATAGCACCTCTCCATCAAGCAGTTTGGGTGTTTTGATTCCTGTAGCAGGGTTTGAAATGGTCATGTTATATTTGGAGTGACAGGAGTGCACCCTCAGTGACGTCAGTGGGTTTCTGTGGACACCATGGAGAACAGGATTTGTTCCAAACACTGTTACCAGAGTGCAAAAGGTCAGTTCAGCAAAGGATGCTCTGGGCCAAGTTCACCCTTGACATGACACCATGGAAGCTCATGGAACTGAGTCAGAGACTAGCCATCCCTGTGAAGCATCTGTGCCACAGGTCTTTTTTCAAAAGACTGTGCTGATGGATTCTGCTCTCACAAAGTTCCTTCTGACTAGTGGCAAATTCTCTAGGGAAGCTAACAAATTCAGGTTTGTGTGCATGTGCACTTCAGAGCTATCACTTAGACCAAATAGGAGACGTCTTCTTTTGGACTGTGGATTGGGGGATTTTGCAGATTTGCCTCTGTCTCAAGAAATCAATTTTTTCAAGCCCTGTTCTAGGTTTCAAAACATTCATAATACTGATATGAAATACCAGCACAAACTAATACAGATTGATTGCAGTTCTTGCTTGTGATCATATAATTTATTTTTCCACATAATGCACCACCCAAACCAGAACACAGTGGTAAGTGTCCTTTCAGCTCTCCATTGGCTTAAAAAGAAAAAACCCAAACTTTAAAACCAATCTTTCTTTAATTTTTTTTCAAAAGAATGAAACTTGTTTTATCCAAACCATTGTATCCACAGGGGGAAAAGGGAAAGAAAGGCAAAAAGGGGCCTAAAGGGGAGAAAGGAGAACAGGGTGCTCCTGGATTAGATGCACCTTGCCCATTGGTACGTCTCACTTATATACTGGAAGATCGATCATCCTGCTGTAAACTGATGGAATAAGAAATGAGGAGAGAGGAACAAGCACCAGCTACTGTTGAACCTGTAGCCCTTTGTTAACAGAGCTTTATCTCAAGTTCTGAAAATTCTGGAGCAGACTCCGTTTGTCAACATCCTAAATTGGTTTAAAACACCAGACTTAAAGATCTTCGGGCTAAATTTGGGAGGTTTGGTGGTAGTTTTTTTCATTATTTCTGCCAACCTGTTTGAAAAGGAACCAAATTTGGAATGTGCCAAAGTCAGTGCCCCACAGGTTTAAATCACACTACGACAGTCAGCTTGCTCCTCTTGCCTCTCTACTGTTATTTGTTCACTCCATTTAAGTCAATACTGAAGGCATTTCCTTGACAGTAACATTGCAAGTTAATTTTTACAACAGGGATTCCGTGGAATTAAGGGGGAAAAAGGGGAGCCAGGCCAACCTGGCCTGGATGGGCTGGATGCCCCTTGCCAATTGGTACAGTATTTCTCTTTCCTACCAACCCTGCATGCAGTTCCTTTGTTTGTGGTCAGCCATTCTTAATGTAAAGTAATGTTTTTCTGAGCTGACTTTACATTATTCACGTAACACGTGCATGTGCATGAACAAACCAGCTGCTTCAAGTGATCATAACTGCAATGAGAGAACACACATTTCTATTGGTACCTTAAACCTAACTTTCAGCAGTTTGCTCCCACATCACATAGTAATTTATAAGTTTGTATCCTTCCTACATTTTCCCTGAGAATTGTTGGTTTGTTATTTTCCTCACAAAATACCTATTGCCTTACTCACCCTGAACGCAAGTCATTGTGGAAATCCAGCACAATGTTCACTTCTAATTAAGTCTGATGCCTTTTAGTCTGCATTGGCTCAGTTCTGCGCTCTAGTCTGTCCTAGAGCTACTCTGCACCCTGGACTTCCTTTCAAATCCCCACAGTCTTAGGTGCATGTTTTCACAATTTGACCAAAGTGAGAGTCATGTACAGAATTATGTAAATACCATTTCTGAAAATCAAGGTTTTCAGTAAGCCATGCTGGAACTTGGCTTCCAGACCATACACAAGTAATATTTTTGGTGTCTGGCCTGTACATCAAACAGTATTCAAACATATCTGGAAATAAAAAGCTTTACCTGAGGTTTGTAAGAAGATAACAGTCTGCAGCCCAAACCCTGTCTTTGTTATTTAATGTCTCCAATTTAATGGTCCTACCCTTGGAACTTACCTTCCTGGAATACACACAACACTCCCCACCCTATGTTAGCATGAATTCAAGTTCCCACCTATACTAAAATGCTACTTCTTGACCCTCTCCCTTGTACCAATCTGGCAACAGTGATTTTTATTCAATGGTAAAGTAAGTTTGAACTCCTTTCCATTTAAGAAAGAAAACTCCAAATGAATAGTACATACACATTTCATAAAGATACAAGGAAGATTTTCTTTTTAATTGTTCATAGTAAAATTTGATCTGCATGTTCTGATATTGTTTGGTGGTTAAACACGGTTCTCTATGATGAATGTTACATTAAATAGATTTTATTTCAACTGTAGCACTTCTAATTTGAAATCAGTTGTTTTTAATCATAAATACATAGTCCTTTAAAATTATTCCATAGTCCATATTGTTTGCTTCCAAATAATGGTAACCATATCTCATATTTTGTTGGGAATAATCAAGCATGCTTTTGTAATTTTAAAATATTTCTCTGTCTCTGTATTATCATTTATATCTGGAGATTCACTAACAATCATTGATGGATGAAAAATATTCTGTTCATAGGTAATTGCTAGAATAAGCTGCTTAGCAAGCAGCACTGTCTCTTGTTTAGGCAGCAAACCATTCCCATCAGACTACGTGCAAGCATTTAAAAAAATCCTCAATAACCACTATCTTCACATGTAAATTCACATATAAAGTATTTGTATTCTATATTTTAAAAAATGTCAAGGCCTGATCTTTTTTTTGCTCATATATATTCTAGTTACATCATATGCGCTCCTAATTCTGACCATATAACTCTCTGGGTAAACCCTGGATAGCCTTCTAAGTTGGAATTAGGGCCTTGAGAACCAGTGTGACTGTGGTCAATAGCTGGCCCTGATCTTACTGGACACATGGAGATATGTGAAGGTAGAGTAGCAACAGAAAAGAAATGGAGTGACTCTCACATGAGAAGAAATTAAATTACCGTATTGTCCAAGCACTGAAATACACAGTGCTGCTGGACTGCCCTGCTCCCACTGCAGATGTTTTCTTCCACTGTGGCACTTAGGGTATGTTCAGGCCTTAAGATTTTGCTGCTCCATTCAAAAGCTAATATTGAAAGTGAAAAGAAAAGATCCTACGCACATTTGAGTCTTGCTGTCTTATCACAGGATTACCTTTGTACTAGAGGCCTCCAGATAAAAGTGATAGTATTTTTTTCTCATTGATCTTGTACATTCAGATAGAGATTGTTGTGAATAAAACAGATTATATTTAAAATAATAAGCAGCCTGAGCTCTAACAGCGATAAGAAAATGATGAATATGTTCTAATGATTTAGAGAAAAACAAATCTTTATAGCAGAGAGGTGCACGTATGTTTTTGCAGCGTAAACCTTCTGTCCTCTGGCTGTTTTAACAGATGTTGATGGATTATCTATCCTCTCAAACTTAACTGTATTCTTTTTTTTTTTTTTGCCTCCCCTTAAAATAGGGTCCCGATGGATTACCAATGCCTGGCTGTTGGCAAAAGGTATGATGGGTAGAGCTTTTTCTTTTCAGGAGTGGTATGTCCTTAGCACACAGAAATGCCTGTCACAGTCATACTGAACAATGTCAAGATATACTTCAAAGCCTCCTAGACAGACATATCCAGCAATGCAAGAGCAGACCTCCCTACCTGCTGCAAGATCAGGCAGTAGTTCATGTGATAATATTGTAATATATGTAGAAGTAATAATTCATTGAGGCAGTATTGTAGGAACAGTTGGCGTTTGTTTTCTGGAAAGTCCAAGACTTTTCTTTTTTTCACATGAAGACTTACACATCCTTTGGTTTCTGCACATTATCACTGCTTCCAATTCGTTATAAAAGCTCATGGATTTTTTGTCAGATATTTATATTGATCTCTTATTATGTTATTCTTCTGGAATACTGAGAGGAACAGTGTAATCTGCCCTTCTCTTTGCCTTACCTTTCTGGTCTTCAATATATCCTCCTTTAACATTAATATTAACTGGCAAAATTATTTTAGTAAAGGTTTAACCTAGGCAGTTCTGGATTTAAAAACATAGCATGCAGAATTATGTAGGTGGAGGGATACTGGCATATAATGTGTTAAAAAGCATTAAGCATGAGTGAAATCCTAGGTGCGTTTATCTCTGAAGAATAGCTGGTGCTGAGGAAATAACTATCCATATTTGCAACTCTGCCTTATCTATGTATTTGTAATAGATGTCTGAAATATCTTACTAATTGGATTAATCTGTCTTTCTTTTTGTCTCTGCAGTGATGAATCTAACCTTACAAGCATGAAGTTGTGTATATAGCGCTCCACTTCTTTTATTTATAGTTGAAAACTGAAAATTTGGTTTTACAAGTCTGAGATATGTTTACATGTAGCTGCTTCTACTTGTTTGCAATAGTCCATACGTACTTTTTCACTTACATCTGCAGTTAGGTGATACTGCAGGGTAAACCTGCAAAGATTGTCTCTCTAATGAGAGATATCGAAACAAAAATCAATAATAGAAATTAATATTTCTGTAAATTCTTATATTTTGGCTTGTGGATATGCATGGACAATGAGTGCCATGAACTAGTTTACAAGAAATTGTGACCAAATAAGAGCAAAATTCTATGATATGTACTGTACCAGCTGCCATTGGAGTTTATTGACTTGGTTTCCGTGTCCATCTTAAATACTTCACTGATTCATGACACCATATCTGCTTGTATGAACTAAAAGCATGAGTTCGTGTGCCAAACCCGCTTGTTGTGTGATCACGTCACGCGCTAAATGGCTGCTCACGGTGACCTTTGATTCCAGCTTCTGAATAATTTCCTTTTGTCATCTCAAGGGAGTCACACCATGGCTCATTGCTAAAAAGAGATAAACCAGAGGAGCATAGAAAGAGGCCTTGAATTTTTGGGGAATAGAGTTCCAGCTGCAGGTGGATGGCTTCCAGTCTTGCGGGATACTTGGCCCCTTTGATCAAAGAGGGTCGCGCCTGTTTATCAGCATCAGTTTGCCTTGCACTGCTCACGGTCGTGAAGATATTCACGATAGGCCCTGTCGAGTTCTTAATCAAGAAGGAAAGAAGTTTGAAGAAGAAACCAGACTTCTCTGTGGGTTGTTTGAAAAGGTTGCAGAGGTGCTGCAGGGATCATTTGATGGCAGACACCGCCTGAGACCAGAAGCTTCTCAACCTTACTCAAGGATGGACAGAGTATGTGCTCTGCATATTGTATTTTGGGACTGCTGGAGGAAAAAGCATTCTTGAGGTGGGGATGAATTGGATCATCCTCCAGAGGAGGATTATAATGGAACTGACCATAGATGTATGTACCATGGTGTGGTTTTCAGGTTATTCACTTTAAATTACACAAAGCTAGCTGAACTTTTCTGCAGGATTTTGGAAGCTATGGTTAATTTTGTTTCCTTTCCTGTAACTGTTGCCATAAAGAATGCATTTCAGTAATCTATTCAACATTTGTGATGATGGCATTGAGGAAAATACTTCAAGCCACATACTCATCTTGTTTCAGTATTAACAGTTTCTATTTCGAAGTCTTTGAAGCCTTTAAGTCTAGAAAAGAAAGAGTTTATTTTTGTGTTTCACAGACTGATTTGTTAATCTTGTTCCTTTTATGTTGTTACAGTGACTTTAGCGGACATTATTACTCAAAAAACATTGGAGAGAAACAATTCTGTGTAATTACCACTGCACACTTGTCGCACTACACTGTTATAGGTGTTAATATTTCTCCATTTCTGTTCAGATTACTAGCTTTCTAGAGAAACATTGGTAAATCTTTCCTTCTCCACTTTTTTATTGCTAGAAATACATAATTCATGCACATTTTTAATTTTGCCATGAGGTATTTTTTCCAGTTTTGAGTCTTCATATGGTGCACTGAAGTTAGTTTGAGGGACTGGTTTATGAGAAATGGTGCCATATTTGGCAGATGGAAATTCTTTTTATATCACTTCTGTTCCTAATGTATATAGCAGGATCATCAAAAACTTTTTTAGTTACTTTTCTGAGAGTTGTCTTTCATATGTAGACCAAAACCGAAGTTGAGGAAGACAGCCTGTCTCCATTCATGTGTGGGCACCTTATGCCCTTCTTGGAATGCACATTTTTCCTTGCTCCATCATTTCTAAATCATGTGTAGATGGGGACCTTCTGTGGTCACGCTTTTTGTGTTGCTTCACAGTCTCAGATCAATGGAAATGCCACTATAATGCAACCTTCCACTTTGATGAATCTTTACTGTCATTTTGGTATATCGAAGTCAAACCTAGCATTTCATTGAGGAAACACCAGCTTTTTAAAACTTAAAAATTAATTTGGCGGCCTACAACTAGTAGTATCTTACTAATAAAAACAAAATTCTGACACTATATAGATAAATACACTGAATACATATATATTTGCCGCTCAATTCCATCTTTCCAATAGTAAGAAAGAAACAAGTGTTCACAGATATAAGATAACATGTTTTTCTTTTCCTGAATTTTCAGAGATGCAAATATTAACCTCTCTGAATAGTCATGATTACAATAGTAAAAGCCTTCACACAGCGTAGTCTGAATATAAAATGTTAATAATCAGAGTGCTATAGCAGTAAATGCAAATGAGGGCCTTGCAGAAAGAGGACAACAGGAGCACCGTGTAAGTCCTCTGACTTGCCCCTTTTAGTCTGCTTGTTTAAGAAGCATTATCTCAAAAAAACAACAGGCTGAGGAGCCAACTGTCCACCTAACAGAGAAGAGTCTCTTATGCCTATATCCTGACTTGGCACATTTAGCTAGGTATATTGTAGATGTGAAGACTAGAATTTGAATGTTTTTTTAAGATATCAAATACTGGCAATCATAGAGTAAAATTAAATATTTTTTAAAGGTCCTTCAGAGTATATACATGCAAAATCAAGTAGAATGTTTATTATCTGGCTGAATGTTATAGCAACTGCATATTGAGAGTGTCCACAAACACAACTCATTTAAGAAATAGCAACAAGATAAAAAACTATTAAATGCATGCTGCCATTAGCACTTTCTTTTTTTTTTTTTTAGTTTGTATACCTATATTTTTAAACTGCCCTCATAGCATCCATTTCTATATGCATCAATAAAGCTAGCAGAACCTTGGTTCATGATTTTGTCATTCAGGAAATAATTATAGACACTACTGTTAAGTGTTAGTCAATAAGCAACTCTCCTTTAACTCCCTGACACTGGGACCCTACTGAAGAAACATTTAAGCATCTTTGTTCACTTTCTTTTTTCTCTTGTAAATTAATCTAATTTCTTTATTAAATTCCCTCCAGGTATTTACTTTTTGTTTTTCCCAAGTAATCTTACTTAACTTTTTCAGATTTTTTATTGTTCAGTATCATGAAAGGTTCATTCCATTTAAATGACCATGAAGGAACAACAGATAAACAACTTAATTTGAAAGGTTAAACTACATACGTAGATTTGACATTAATGTTTGCATCTCAGATTGAATTGATGTGAAACTTAACCATATCTAGAAAAGTTGCATGGTCAGTAAAAGTAAAAAAAAGAATTGGGTTTAACATTTCATCAAGAAAAGCACCTTGTGAAGACTTGCAACATGTTTATTTTGTTTAAAAAGCAACTATTTCTGGTGCTAATATATCTTTTTCCTTATGATGGTAAAGCTATAGTTTGAACCACCAATGTGTTGTTCTATCTTTTAGTGGCATTCCTCCAAATAGATATGATTTGTTTAGTTTGTTACAGGAACAATAGTTCCTCTACCAGTCTTTTCAGTTGTAGAAATGTGTAGTGGTATTAGTCTACATATATCCCTGACTTTTTCAGGTATAATTAATTCTTGTTTCTTTGGGAGTTTTCAGTATTTGTTTCATACAAAGTTTTGTAATTGCCTGTTACTCCAGTGCATTATAACCACATTGTGCAGAAGTCCAGCTACAGAAGCCAGACTTCTTTTAAGCACTGTATGAAATATGTCTGACATACGTGGTCCTTGTTTTCATATTCATAGATTAGCTATGGGGAAGCTTTCTTTCAGGATGTTTTGGACACCTTTTTTTTTTTCCTGAGTAAAGCATGAAATGTTAAATCGCAGAGCAATGATACAATGTTTTGGGTTTTGTGGGGTTTTTGATTTATATTTTTATTTATTGCTGATCTTGATGTCATATTCTGATAGTGTAGCAAAGCAGAAACTCTTCATCCAGCTGTTTATATATTCTTTTAGTCTACAGTGTAAGTAATATGATTGAGTTTCAGAATGATCAAATCCATATACCTGCACATGTGTAAAGTATAGAGTTTGAAAAGGACTGATGTACAGTGTGGAAACTTAGCATTGGCTCCATTGAGCATTACCTCATGGAAGGGGTGCATGTGACCACCAGTTACTTGGTTATGCCAGCAAAAGAGACAAGCAACCCCAAATGAGATGAGCAGACCTTTGATCCTTGTGGGAGGGTGGTGCTGTGTAAGGCTGGGGGCTGCGCCAGGAAACACGCTTAGGTCCTGGATCTGGTTGGAGTTTAGAGAGTTGTCCCACTGACTGCCCCAGAACTGGGTTTGTAAACCTGGGCTCAGCCATGCAAGGCTTTTCTCTTGGCTCTGCCTCCCTATCCCCAGCAATGAGCTGTGGAGAGTGATGCAACCTCCCCTTGCAAAGCTCTTTGAGGCATGCAGAAGAAAGGATGCAGGTATTATGCTTAGTAACAAGGGGAATATTATCAACTTCAAGAGTGGGTTTTGCCTAAATCAGGACCACTTCAGTAAGAAGTCCAGAGATATTTCCAGTCTACTGAATGTGTTGAAGATGTTCAAAGCATGCAGAAGTTGACCTTTCCCTTCAAATTTCCTGATTTCTGCTGCTTGACCATCTTGAATTACATTTTTAAAGCTCTGTATTTTACCGAATGAGATTCCTAAATTTTCACACTAAAGACTCACCTAAAATAATGATATCTGCAAAGATACTGGTCAAAATAAAGTATAATTTTTAGTCATTGTAAAAATTCTATTTCAATGACTGGAATTAAAACTAACACCTAATTTTTTATTCTTTTTTCCTTCCTGCAACTTGCTTTTGTGGATGTGAATGTTGTTGTAATGTACAAATGAAGGTTTTCTTGCACCCTCTGTTATTGAAGAATTTTACATGGTGGTTGGATTCATTAAATGCTGTTAAAAACAAGTGCCTGCCACCATCATATCTGAGAAAGATACTCTACAGAACAAGTGGAGTTTTTATTTTAATAAGGGATTTGGAGTGTTGCTTTTGTTTCGTTTTGTTTTTAAATGCATCTGATTATCAATGCTGCTCACAAATTGAATTTTCTTTGTAAAGCAGGGGGCCTTAACCTGGGACCGTTAGTGTTTTACTTGTTTCTATTTAAAAAAGAAATTGTATGAATTTCCCAGATCCCATTGGTACTTGCACACTTCTCTGAAGTATTATGGAGAGTTGGGTTGGTGGGAGAATGTTTTACATATTGTTAACATATATGTGGATATTCTTATATTATTGTACATGTTTGGGAAAATATCACACAACTTTAAAAATGTTGCTAAGATGTATGTATCTGACTTTTTCCTTTGGAAAATATTATATATTTTTATTTGTATTTTTTACTTTTTTAAGTTCATCTATATGTGCCGTTATTTTTGTATTGCAAATGGTCTCATAAATGAAGTAGAAGAGATAAAAATACAAAGAAAAGTAATTTGGCAAGGATTCCAATGCTTGGGGGTAAAAACCACATGGGTCAGCATCATATTATCAATGCTAGAAATATTTTGAGTGTCTTAGCACTGTAAATATGTCACAAGACCTCTTTTGAGGAGTAGTATAAAGAATTGCAAGGTTTTAATCACCCATTTTAATTTGATATTAATTACCACTTTCTTGTGGCCTCTGGTCTTGACTTAACTGAACCCAATCAAACAGCATGCTTTTGTTTTTATTATTAAAATTTCTCCTTGTTTTTCAGTTGAATATTGTTTTGTTTTCTTTCAGTTTTGTACTTGAGGTTTTGTTTCTTGCTTGTGAGAAGTTGATCTTCAGAATTATTTTTACACTATTTATGATTTATTTTCATAATGTAAAAAGTGTGTAATTATTAAAATATTAATCCAACCATTGGTGCTGATTTTGCATAGTTATAAAGTTCTTAATATTGGTGCAAAAGATTGTTCTAGTCTGTCTGGATTGGAAGAAGCGTGTGCTGCGTTGTGCCAGTCGGTAGTTTGAAGTCTAGAGCAGGTTGTGTCAGTAGCAACATTCACATGAAAATCAAGGCCTCTGCAACATGTTCCATTTTCCTACAATGGGCAGTAAGAAAACTCACCTTCTTCCTATTCTTAACGTGTCTTTTCCCTTCAAAGTCAAGTCTGTTCAGTCATCTTTTCAAAACAGGCAGCACAGGCTGTTGGCATCCACAAACTATGTAAGGAAGAAGCTTTGCTGCAAACCTTAGAGTTGGAAAAGCTAAAAGGATCTATGTATTAATTAGTTGAAACTATTGCTTAGGCAAGTTCAGAGGCATCCTAGGATCAGAAGAAATAAAGCTGGAACTCAACAGTCTCCCCTTTCTATAATTCTGAAGGTGAAAAATAAACCTGAACTGCTGAGAAATAAAGATATATGCAGGCAGTGTCACAAGTAACAGTGCAAGCTAGAAAATGTG